ACACTTTCAGTAGCCCCAAAGATAAAGTAAAGCTGTCCCAGTCCAATCACCCAGGGCATGACTGTCCCTAACGGAGGCTTCACAATGCCACGGTAACCCAAGCTCAGGATGATCACAAGGAGACAGGCCAATGGGCATCCGGCTCAGATATCAATTGTGAGAATCAGCAGACCTTGGGTCGAGAGTCCAATGCTGGTGATGTTTTGGTATTCATTACACCAAACTGCTTTCTCAGAATTTCCTAGGAAAATAACAGCTGCGATTCAGAACTGTGTTCTTCATATACCTTTTCAATAACAAGCAGATCACACAAGCCAGAGTACACCGTATAATACACAAACACTACGCATCACCGTTCAAAATGTAGGAAGAACAGCCAAATCATGAGCGGCCATTCTAATAGATCTCCATGAGGCCTTCTTCATGAAAGGAGAAGCATTCATTAAAATTCCAGCTGCCATGTGTTTTTCCCATTATATATTTTTTTAATTTTTAAAAAAATAATTCTTCGGTTTTAATTTTTTATGTAAGAACGTAGTGCTATTTTACTGTTGCTTGATTTTTTAGTCTTTATTAGCACATTTGCAATGCATAATGATTATGCACCTCATGTGGAGTCAGTACACACTGTCTGTGTAACACATGTTCATTCCATTTTTTTAATCCCCTTGCACTCTCTGCCCTCAGTCCTCCCTCCCTCATGGTCCCATTTCCTTTTACAAAATACCTATCCCTGTTTCCTGTGATCTACTTCTTATTTTGGCCTTGATTTTTATTTTGTGTTTCTCATATATGAGATATTTAATCTTGTGTGTCTGATTATGTCAGTTAACTAGGGAGCTCACAGAGATGGAAACATTATGGACAGTTAACATTATGGACACCAGGTATATCCCTTTTCCTACAAATGACTCAAGTGCCTCATACTTTATGGTAGAGTAGTATTCCATCTTATATAAACACCACATTCTTATTATCTATACATGTGTTGATAGAAATATGGGCTCCTTGCAAAATTTAGCTATAAAAAGAATTTAGCTACTATGAATTGTGCTGCTATATGTACAGTATGCATGCGTCACTGGAAATTGATGTATTTAAAACTTTCAAGGAAGATACCTAGAAAGAGAATAGCTGGGTCAGATGGAATTTCTATTTTTATTTTTTAAGGACTCTCCATATTGATATCATTAGTGTTTGTACTAGTTTACATCCCTCTCAGCAATGTAGAAGGGTTCTTTCCACCCCCTCCCAAGCCTCATCAGCATCTGTTATTGTCTGATGTCTTGATAGCCATTCTTTCTGGAGCAAGATGAAATCTTAGCACTGCTTTAATAAAAACAACGAAGAGGTGAAACCTCTCCTTTCTAACTACCACATCCACCGATCCTTCTTGGTTGGAAATATTCTACTTGTTACTTCTTTATTATTCAATGAAAGAAGCTCCTTCATTGTAAATCAGTGTTGCAATCTAAGTCTTCATTTTCTATTGTCCAACACTGTGTTTATTGAAATAACCACAAATATCTGCATGAATTGGAGTCCATGTTTTGGGGACATCTCCTACCCAAGTAAAATCCTATGTTCTGAATTATTTCCGCACTTCTTTTATCCCACTGAGAACACGCATTGTGACAGGTTCCGCACATCAAATGCCCCTCTATAGTAGACTTCACAGGCTAGGAGCAACTGAGTGACCGAATGATAAAGTTTTCCAAAACATTAAAGGTCCCCATTTGCTTTCCAAATTGATGCTGAAACAATGGGCTGGGTAGTCTTGCTCCTGGGACTGCACTGCCGATAAAAGGCCATTTGAAAACTTGTTTTATTTTTTATTTTGAGACAGGGGCTTGTCAAATTGTCCAGAATGGGTCAAACTTGAAACGGTGCAACCCCTTTGGAAATCAATGTGGAGATTCCTCAAAAAATTAGGATTAGAGGTCCCACTTAACCCAGCTATTCTCCTTCTGAGTATTCTCCCAGAAGAATTAAAAACATCATACCACAGCAGTATAGGTGCACTCATGTTTACAGCAGCACAATTTGTCATAGCTAAATCTTGGAAACCCAAATGCCCAGCAACTGAGAAGTGGATAAGAAAAATGTGGTATTTTTACACAGTGGAGTATTACTTAGCTATAAAGAAAGATAAATTCGAGGCTTTTATAGGTAAACGGATGCAACTTGAGACCATACTCATAAGTGAACACCATATTGTCTCCCTACTGTAAGAACCTGAAAGTGTAAATAAAATCTGAAAGGTACAATAGATATTATGAAAGGGAAAGAAATTGCTCAATAAGAAAGAACTGGGATGAGAAAAAGGAGAAAAAAAAAAAGGAAAGGAAAAATATATGTATACATACACAAGCTAGCTAAGATAATCGCACTACTAATTTGTATTGGTTTATTGAAAGGAACAGACAATGTTTAACTGTTGATCAGTCGTGCACACCTTTATCTGGTAATGTAAGCAACTGCTCTGAAGATAACAGTAAGTAATACAACAACCATTGTTGATTTCCTATCATCTCGTTTTAAAATTCTGTATCATTTCTATAGTTTTTATGTTGTTTTGTTTTGGTCTTGGTTTTTGTGATTTTGTTTTTGTTCTTTTCTCTTTAAAATAAAAAAGAAAGTAGTGGAGGTGGAGGCCTAGGGCGAGGAGAGCAGAGGGAGAGGGGGCTGGGAGGGTGGAGGCTCTGGTGGCCACAGCTTTGCTCAAATCACCTCCTGCCTTTTCGTTATCCAGTCCCGGGGGATGAGGAACAGGACAGCGAGGTCTGTCTGCTGTTGGGGCTGAGGCTATAACCTACCCACCAGATCAGGACCACCTCTTCAGATCCTTTTCTTAGACCTTGCCATCCCTAGAGCCTGGGCTGTGACCCAAGAAATAGATTGGCAGAGCCAATAAGGACCATTTTAGTCCCATACAGAGCCAGGATCCCAGCCCACCCTCCGATCTGGAGTTCGTGATAGTCACAGCTTTCATGAATGAGCCATCTTGAAGGACACGGCACAGGATCTGGGGTCCATTCCTGAATCTCCAGAGACAGGCGAAGCCCCCAGGGAGAAAACGGCCTACCTCTGTGACAAGTCTGGAGTCCGCCCTCTCAGGAGAGGCCTATGACCTCAGGCTTGAGTTATTTGGCCCCTTGGCTCAAGGACATGGGCAGAGACAGCTGGCTGGTCTGAACAGCCTCTCAAGGATGAGGCCAAATCTTGGCATCCCATGACCCAAGGCAACTGGTGTGCGTAGCAGAGTGCAGCCCGCCCTGCCCGGGCAGTTGCAAGCCCTGTATGGCTGCCCTGCCAGGGCTCTACGGCGAGCTGTGACAGCTTTCGGCTCTGTCAAGCAGCCACATCTGGACCTGTGTATCTGGATTGAGATCTCTGCCTGCTGGGCTCACAGGAACAGGCCAAGTCCCTGAGGGTTCCTGCTGTCTTTTCTGCTCTTGAATGGGGCAAGGGATGAGGGAAGACAGGAGCTCAAGGCCCCTCAGCCTGTTCTGGGGCTTGATCTGGGGCTCCTAGGAGAACCAGGATCTGGGTTCAGTGAACTCATAGCAGACCTTTGTCCTTCCTCGTCCACAGTGTCCACTATCAGTTGCTCCGCTGTTCTCTGCCCTTTACAAGAACCAAAATCATTGCATGACCCATAGGATGGAGCACTTCTCTCTGCTTTTCTTCTTTTTCTATTTTCTTTTTCTTTTTGGTTTCTTGAGAAAAGGTCTCCCTCTGTAGTTTAGGCTACTGCTGTACTTACAGTATACCCTAAGTCTAGCCTTAAAAAAAGGTGGTCCTCCTGCCTCGGCCTCCTGACTGCTAGAGTTGTAGGCATGCGCCACCATACCTTGCATATTCTTTGCTTTATGTGAGTATAGGGAAGGGATCTTGTCACGTATACTCATTCTCTGGGCTCACAGAGACGGCAAGCTATCCAAAGTAGAGCTGCTGACCTACAGATAGCACCAATCAGATGAAAGAAAGAAGCAGAGTGAGGGGGCTGGGGATTTAGCTCAGCGGCAAAAGCGCCTGCCTGGCAAGCGCAAGGTCGTGAGTTCGGTTCCTGGTACCGGAGAAAAACCAAAA